CTGAATAAATAATCTTTCCATTGATGTAAGGTTTGTTAGGATCGGACAATATTTGGCTGAGATATAACTATTTGAAAATCTGGAATCTGAGGGTGCAAAAAAATCTAAATATTGAGAAAATCATCTTTAAAGTTGTTCAAATGAAGTTCTTAGCAATGCATATTACTAATCAAAAATTAAGTTTTGATATATTTACGGTAGGAAATGTACAAAATATCTTCATGGAACATGATCTTTACTTAATATCCTAATGATTTTTGGCATAAAAGAAAAATGTATAATTTTGACCCATACAATGTATTGTTGGCTATTGCTACAAATATACCCCAGCGACTTAACACTGCTTTTGTGCTGCAGGGTCACACATATATCCAGAAATAACATTGCAGTAGTCTTAAGCCCTATTCAGACGGGACTAGTTTTCTAGTTTTTTAATTATTACAGAGGTTGTGTGAGAAAAACAGACGTGGCAGATTAAAATCACAAGCACATCTGTGAAACAAAACACACTATCAACCCTCTGTAAACTAGTCCCGCCCGAATAGAGTAGGGCTGTCAAAATCTCTGAAGAACTATATTCAAATTTTGTACTTAAATATTATCAATATTCGAATTATATTCAAATTTAAAAGGCATAAACGAACGCTGTTCCTCACAGATGGGCTGTGTTTCTGCTGGTACAGGATGCAGGACGGCTCTCCGGGGCCCGGGGCCGTGTCCGCTCGTCCCGATCCGGGGCTCCGCTCGTTCCACAGAGAGACCCACGCGACCGCCGTCCATCCGCCGGAGCGCAGCACATGCGCCGAGACGAACCCTGAAACACAGCAGAGTCTGCATTAAACTGCTGAGAACGGCACACTACTTCCCTGTTTAATGCTGTGAAGCTGTAAGAAGCGCTATATAGATAACGGGGACTTGACTTGAGTGTGACGGCTCACCGGTGGCATTCGGACCCACAGCGATGATCAGATCTGAACACGGCACAGATCCATCTGTCTGCGAGAGCCAATGAACATCAACAGACCTGAGAGAAAACACAGACACTACTAAAGTCTCTTCTGCTCACCAAGCCTGCATTTATTTGATCAGAAACACAGCAATAACAGTAAAATTGTGAAATATTATTATAATGTAAAACAGCTGTTTTCTATGTGAATCTCTGTTAAACTGTAATGTATTTCTGTGATGCGCAGCTGTATTTTCAGCATCATTACTCCAGTCTTCAGTGTCACATGATCTTCAGAAATCATTCTAATATGCTGATTTGCTGCTCAAGAAAAACAACATTTATTATTATTATTATGTTAAGAAACTTGAAAAAATGTACTCAACTGTTTTCAACATTGATAATAACCAGAAATGTTTCTCCACTCACTCACTCACACACTCACTCACTCACTCACTCACACACTCTCTCTCAGCATATTAGAATGATCTGAAGATCACGTGACACTGAAGACTGGAGTAATGATGCTGAAAATACAGCTGCGCATCACAGGAATAAATTACAGTTTAACAGAGATTCACATAGAAAACAGCTGTTTTACATTCTAATAATATTTCAGAATTTTACTGTTATTGCTGTATTTCTGATCAAATAAATGCAGGCTTGGTGAGCAGAAGAGACTTCTTTAAAAAACATTAAAAATCTTACTGATCAAAAACTCTTATACTTACACTTATATACACTATAACCAAGTTTATATCGTCCAGCCAATGTTATTTCCAACTGTATATGTATTATATCGGACTAATAAGATCAGATCCTCAGAAACACATGCAGATGAACTGAAACCGGAAGTACCGCGCGATTATTCCGTCTCTAATAAAACTGATGAAGACTTCCTGTGAAATATTACTGACTGACTCTGTGCCTCACATTATTAATAAGTTAAATATGACGATGATTTCACCTCTTCTCCTCTATTTCGCGGCGGATCTGCGCATCTTCCTCGTTTTCATTCGTCATATCATCATCCTCATCCTCTTCAACAGCTCTCGAGTACACCGATAACACTTCACCGAAGAATGTGGCCATATTACACGCTTTATGAGATTAAATCACTCGATGCAACTCTAAGGTGCTGCATAACGATAGCGCGACACACACCGGAAGTGCTGCAGCTTTACGACGGAAGACTTTTATTTTGTTTAGAGCTTTAGTCATATTGTGCTATTCCAACAAATAGCCGTGTGAAAAAGAAAGAAAGAAATAATTATGTTGAGTAAAATTTGTGTGTTCACAATTCGAAAAAAAAATTAATAATCAGTGTTGGTGAGTAACTAGTTACATGTAACGGAATTACGTAATTTAATTACAAAATAAATGTAACTGTAATCAGTTACTGAGGGAACAAAATGTGTAATTAAATTACAGTTACATGTGAAAATGTTAACGATTACAAATGTAGTTACATGGAATATTTTCACAAACACCCACATACATATTTAATTTATTTCTTTAATAAATTGCAGTGACTGCTCTAAAATATGAGATAGTAATGTTTCAGGAGTTTAGGACACATGCTTATTCAATAACTGTTTTATTTCCTATTTGGGTTTATGTGTATGCTTTATTTAAAAAAAAAAAAAAAATTTTCTTCCAAACCATTGATGCCAGTGTTTCTGGTCAATAACTATGCAAACATGTTATTTCAAAACCAGTATCATAGCTATTAAACTGTATCTTGTTATGATTTTAAATCTGTGTTTAACCTCAGAACGATCTCAAAGTGAAAAAATATGTGCTAAAGTCTGATTTAGTGGTGGCTGTGCTTTAAAATTAAATTATTATAATCTTAATTGAAGTGAAGAAGGATTCTGTAAGTCTGGCAGTAATCAGTGTTGAGCTCTACTGTAATATTAACCCTGTCTGCTTTACATGTTTCAAAACATTAGAAATTTTGAAAAGCAATCAAAAAGTAATCAAATGTAATCAGTTACATTACATTATTAAAGTAATTGAAATCGTTACACTACTTGTTACATTTCAAATAGAGTAACTTGTAATATGTAACCTGTTACATTTCCAAAGTAACCTTCCCAACACTGTATATATCATACTAGATTATTTACAGCTTGGTGAAATCTCTCCGTTCAGATATCAGACAAACACATGCAGACCCTGTTGGGGGAAAAAACAGGTCATAAGCCAGTCAAACTAGTTAATCGGTCAAAGATGTGTTTTGGAAACCAGTTCTTTTCTTTAGACACTTACTAGTGCTGGGAATGAAACAGACATAAAGATAGTATTTAACAGAGCAGCTGCTGACAAACACATCCAATTACATGTACAGTTAATAGACCGAATGAACCCCGAGAGAGAGACTCATCGAGAGCAAAGCAGGACTTATGACAGGTTTGTGGCGAGAAAGGATGACATCTATGATCTAACTTCACATTGGACACACAGCTTTGAATCAAAAGGAATATATACAGAAGCAGAGCCAGACACTGTAAACATCAGGTGCTTAGCCCAAATCTAGATGGTCCAGGGACATTTTTGTCCTCAATTATGTAATTGTCTATATAGAAACTTAATTTGCTGTAAAGTTGCTTTGCAATGATTTGTATCGTGAAAAGCGCTGTACAAATAAGCTTGACTTGAATTGAATTTAATTGTTCTCTGTCTTTCTCAAGCCATAATAACACAACACATTTTGAGGATGTCAAACTTTAACCCCTGCTTAAAGTCCTCAGGAGTATGAAGTTACACATTACTGATTGCAACAGATTAGACAGGATTCACATTTCTGCATATGCTGGTTAGGTATGATTTGAAGCATGGCAGTGTAAGCAAAAATGACGAGGATGATGAAGATCTTGATGAAGACGTTTATTTCAGCATAGCACTGACAAAATACGTAGTGCTTTGGGTTCAAAGGAGTCCCAAATAATCTCTGCTTGAACGTTTCATACCGTGTTACATTCATCTTCCCGCTAGACATGTAAATGAAGTTTCGTCCTAATTACATTACTTAGTTACTTTTTATAGAAAGTGATGCGTTACGTTACTTTTGTGTTACTTTTTAAATCTGGGCGGGGCTTGCTTGCTTGTTTTTAATATAAAAAGTTCTTCTTTTACAAACGTAAAAGCCCTTTCTCACCAAAAGTGGATTGAATGCGCCTCAGGCTGAAGGAAATGTAAATTCACGTCTGTACAGTAGAGGGCGCCGCTCAAACTAATCACATGAAGAATATGACGCAGGAGAAGAAAGTTCAACACTATTCAACAATAACTAAAATCAAACACAAATATGTCATTTTTGATTATTAGTATGATTGCATTGGATCATCGAAGGTCAGCAGCAAAGACACTGGTTAATAAAATGGGATTAAATACATAAGTGATATTTGTCTTATTTAACAATTATTGCAGGTTTGTATAATATTCTGAGTTTGCATTTGACTGTTTTTATAGATTTTGAGGAACACTGAATGTGTTTGTGTACAGTGAGATGAGTAAACACGTTCATATTTAGTCTAGAACTACAGTAAGATCATGTTCACACACAACGCTCTGCTCTTACTCCTGATTTCTGTCACCATGGCAACACCAGAGCTGTCACTCAATACATGGAAACAAAGTAACTGCTGTTACTTATTTGAAAAATAACTCCAATATTTCCTTCTAAATTAAAAAGTAATGCGTTACTGTACTAGTTACTTCAAAAAGTAATCTGATTACGTAACTTGTGTTACTTGACCAGCTTAAACCAGTTCAAACCAGCTGCCATGCTTCAAAACATACCTTACCAGCATATGCTGGTCTTTTTTGTTCAACTATTTTAATTGTGGGTAGGCTAGTGCACTTTATTATGCTACATATTGCAGATTTTTTTGTGTGTGAATGTGAAAAATGTTTACCCCTCCCCCTTCCTTTTCCTTCAACATCAACACTTTAGAAGAAGACAAAGAGTGACGGATCCGTCTGTAAATAGACTTGAGCTCAGCCTCACACCTTTTTCACACTTCCTCATGTCTGTTCATCTGAGCTGCTGGATGTGTTGTGTGTCTGATCTGGATATAAGGCTTCCGATTTTTACACACAATTATGCTTTATTGTGTCTCTGCTGTGTTTATTTTCACTGGTAAGTTTTATTTGTATATTTCTTCTCATCTGTGAAATCAAACACCTTAAATATTTTATATTTATAGCACTTGAACTGAGCCTAAAGAACAGCTCTGTATTAATGTATGGGTTGATGTGAATAAAGATGATGGACTTGAAAATATCGACGGCTAGTAACTTTTATTGAGCAGAGTCCTAGAACTGGGGAGGAAAGCAGCACTAGTCTCCGTGCCCGCCAACTCTACCCCCTCTTCTTCTTCACATTCCAAGACCCTCCTTCTCGGAGGGCGTAACACCAAAATAAAAGTCCTTGACAAAAACACGCAGAAATAGAATACAATGAATATTAAACAAACAACTTCACATTAGTTACGTTTTCAACATATAGAAAGTAACAATGTCCTTAAACCATACAAAACAATGTGCAGATTATTGGTGCAACACAACCAAAATTGTCAATAAACACAATACAGGGTGTTTGTGGACTGCAGCAAAGATTCTAAAACAAAGAACTGATAACAAGTTTTTTTTTTTCTCTTATTTCACAACATAATCCTTAAACCTTGCAGGCAATTTGACGGGCCTGCAACCTAACAGTGTAGGGTCCAGCACACCATGCAGACCATAGTAGGACGGTCCACTTTTGAGGTTACAGTGTCCATGTCATCAGGCTGTGTGACAGTAAACTGTCCAGTGTTGTGAGTTAAGTTCAGGGGGGGCTGTCCCAAAAGCAAAGACCTAGCTGGACTCTGACTGGGGATCTCACCAGTAAAGACCACAGAAGGCAAGTTCTCCTGGATAGCAAGTGTAGAGGAATTAGAAGTACTAGTGGGTACTCCCTTTCAACAGGCTGTGCAATGGGAGATGATGCATCCGAGACTGTTTGTCCAAGCTGATAGGTGGAAGACAGGTAAGGTTTAAGACGGTTATGATGTACCACTTGCGGTGTCTTTTCAGGAAAACATTTTGGCTGAATAGCAAACAGTACAGAATAACCATTAGTAGGCTGAACATTTTGTGTTACAATGTAGGGCCCTTTCCAACGTGACAAATCTAGAGTGCTAAACAAGGTGGCTCCAGAAAGGGCGTCTAAACTGTCATCCACACGTGGAAGTGGGTGTGCATCTTTGATAGTAATTGAGTTCAAACATCTATAATCGATACAAAATCTATAAGAGCCATCCTTCTTACGGACAAGTATCACCAGGGAAGCCCAAGGGCTATGACTAGGCTCAATTAAGTCAGCATCAAGAAGTTTCTGTACTTGGTTGTCGATTTCCTTTCGTAGGACAGGAGATGTACGGTATGCTCTCTGACGCACAGGGGACGTAGAGGATGTCTGTATGCTATGGTTAATCAAATCAGTTATACCTAGATCGGCAGAGGTAGTGCTAAAGACATCACAGTTCTCTTGTAGGAGGGAGTTAACTACTTCTACCTCACTGGGAGTAAGAGTGTCAGTACCCATGTGAACATCAGGTATTTGGCATGAAAGGCTTGGCAGGCTAACCTGAGCCACAAGACTATCCATAGGCCTATAGAAATCAGAAGGCACATTACGTACAGTGTAGAATTGACCTAAATGGGTCTGTTTGGGCAGCTCAATGTCCTGGTGTGTAGGATTAAGTAGATGAACTACAGTGAGCCCATTTTCAACATTAGAGGAGCTACGAGCAACAGCCAAGTCTTTGTCAAATGTTACATTCGGTTCTAGAATACCTTGAAAACCATGAAGCTGACTTCTTGTTTCTGAGGTACATGCTACTGAAGCAGGAACAACAACCTCTGTCAAGGGGGGGGCTGAGACCTGTGAGAGCAAGGACACATTACGGCAAAAAGGTAATGCATGTGAGGAACCGAGAAGGAACATTTTCTCATTATTGAACATAAAAGTACCAGAGGCTGTGTCAATTGAGGCACCATGTGTTTTGAAAAAGTCCCATCCAAGAAGGACATCATGCGCAAACCTCACGCGTGATGCACCTTATGGTCTGCGACACGAACACACGCACACACACACAATGACAGGGGTGTTTACCTTTCTTTTTTTCTTTAATTAAAGCATGCTGTAAGTGGGAAATTTACTCTCTCCTGCTCCATGGCTCTGAGTGGGCGACTCAATCAGATTTCTTTGTCTCTCACGTAATTATCACCTGCTATAATGAGAGCGCAGCACAAGTCCACAACCAGCAGGATGAAAGAGAAACTGTACAAATAAAAAACAGAAAGAAAGAAAGAAAGAAAGAAAGAAAGAAAGAAAGACAAGTGGGCTGAAAGAAAATAAGTGCTGGTTATTAGCACCTTGAAGAAAGAAGCCTGCATGCAGAGTCCCGTGATAATTCACCATTCTGCCTCCCTGCTGTAGAAATGCAGAGAGCAGAGGAGACGGGAATATGAAAGAAAAAATACACAGGGTGATAGATGGCACAATTTGGAGGAGGAGAGAGCCGGAGAGTCTTATGAGCAGCAGGAGTCTCGATTGAGACAGAACGGCCCTTTAGACTTCTGTAATAACGTGTAGATTCATCCTTATTAGTTTGTCTTGTACTCTGTTATCAAATCGCTTCTGCTCTTTGTCTACATGAGCTACCAGCTGTGCCCTCCGGCTGAAAGACAGATAACTTACATTCTCCTTATGAAAGAAATATGACTCACATATATTTTTAGTGTTGGGAATGTTATTCTTAGGGACACCAGAAGATGAAGTTTCACTCTTGAAAATAAAGGCTCCCAAAGGGGTTTTGAAGAGATGAACAGTTCAGTGAACAGCTCCTAAAAGAACCTTAGTATGAAGAAACTTTTAACAATCCGAAGAACACTTTTCTAAGGCAAGCCGTTCTAACATTTAATTTATAAAACATACCATATCTATTTTCATGCTACTGTAAGGCGTGGGGTTTTAGATGCCCGTGGGTTGATGTGAATAAAGATGATGGACTTGAAAATATCGACGGCTAGTAACTTTTATTGAGCAGAGTCCTAGAACTGGGGAGGAAAGCAGCACTAGTCTCCGTGCCCGCCACACTCTACCCCCTCTTCTTCTTCACATTCCAAGACCCTCCTTCTCGGAGGGCGCAACACCAAAATAAAAGTCCTTGACAAAAACATGCAGAAATAGAATACAATGAATATTAAACAAACAACTTCACATAATGTTCTGAAGCAGGTCATTTAAAGGAATGTAATGTCTGGGAGAGACGAACAATAAAACCTCAAATCATCAGCATCTGAATTCTGAATTATTAAATGTTTTATATAATGTATTTAAATAAGCAGAAAGAGCTGTACTTTTTACATGATCTGTTTGATCCCTTATGTCTGGAAAACTTACTGAAGTGTACTATAGTAATACTATGGTATTGATTGAGGAAATTTTGAGTTTTACTCTAGTAATCATTCAGTTCCGTGCTACATGAGCAGAATTAAAGCATGGCAGTGTTATGTCTGTGTCTGTGATTGTGTCTGTGATTGTGTGTGTGTCTGTGATTGTGTCTGTGATTGTGTCTGTGTGTGTGATTGTGTGTGTTTATGAGTGTCTGTGATTGTGTCTGTGTCTGTGATTGTGTGTGTGTCTGTGTGTGTGTCTGTGTCTGTGTCTGTGATTGTGTCTGTGTCTGTGATTGTGTGTGTGTGTGTGTCTGTGTCTGTGTCTGTGATTGTGTCTGTGTCTGTGATTGTGTGTGTGTGTGTGTCTGTGTCTGTGTCTGTGATTGTGTCTGTGTCTGTGGATGTCTGACTGATGTATTCCTGTGTTTCAGGTGTGTTTGGCGTGTCGGCGATAGACGTGAAGAATCCTCCAGACATCTCCGGACAGGTGTCCATCACTAAAGTCAGGGTGCTGCCTTCTACACACTTCTGTTTGAAAGGCATTTGACTGACTGGAACCTGTGCGTCTTCGTGTCATTCATCAGATCAGAGTTGAAACTGAAAATATGAACACAGTTATAAATATCTGTCATGATGAGGAGAATCTGTGTCTCAATCTGCAGAAACACTGTCGTTTCCTACAGTACTGCATTTCTAATGCTGTGTTTCGGTTGTTCTCTGTGCCATAAACAGCCTTGTGTTTTTGTATTTTGTTCTATTTCTATTTTCTAGCAAATTGCCAATGCTTTGGCATATATCATGTACAGCTGTCTGCTGTTTCCTACATTATAAACTTCTCATGTCATGGCGATCAAATATAAAACATCTTTTTCCTTTCTGTATCACAATGACATTTATACTGTAATTAGTTTGATAGGTAAACAAGCAGAAATGTGTAATCTGTTGCAATCAGTAATGTGCAACTTCATACAGTTGAATCTGATATGCCGTGCAGAAAAAAAAAGCAAACTTGTGTTTCTTTGTCATCCAAATCACATCCATAGTTTACATCAGGAAACACTGACAGAGTGACTGTTACATTGACAGCATGACTAAACACTCATCTTGTTTGTGATCAGTGACACAGTGACAGATAACCAACACTCAAAACAGATGAAATATATGATTATTTAATACATCTCCTGAATAAACCCGGATGAGTCTTTAAACAGACTTCAGCTCAACCACACACACACTCCTTCTGTTCATGATCTGCTGCTCTGATCAACAAACCTCATGTTTCTGATGCTCAAACATCTGCTTCAGCCTGATACAACACCTGGGATTAACTCGGTTGAGCTGGTTAACCGTTCCGAAGCATGTCTCGGATGAACCACTTACTGTAAGTCATCTGGGTCGACTCAGGAGGTAACCTGGGGTGTATTCCAGAAAGCAGGTTCAACAAACTCGGAGTTGACTTACCCTGAGATGGGAAACTCTGAGTTTCCAACAAAACCCACTTTCTGGAATACACCCAGGTGTTTCCATCAGGGCTCTGCAGGTGCTTTTCTGATATCTGATGCACAAACACCTGTGTCCAATCAAAATCACTTAAAACACATCAAATAAAACACGTATATTCTGATAAAAAACATATATATAATATTAAACAAAGATAGACAAAACGAACAAAACGTGGTCAGACTCAGGACACTAAAGAGCAGTGTTGGGGGTAACGCATTACAAGTAACGCGAGTTACGTAATCAGATTACTTTTTTCAAGTAACTAGTAAAGTAACGCATTACTTTTTAATTTACAAGAGAATATCCGAGTTACTTTTTCAAATAAGTAACGAAAGTTACTTTTTTTTCCCAATTTGTCCCCATGTTGACAGAAATCAGAAGATGTTACTGTAGTTCTAAAATAAATATGAATATGCATTAATTCATCTCACTCACAAAAAAAACACACAGATTCAGTATTCCTCAAAATGAATAAAAATAATGCAACTCAGAATATGACGCAAACCTGCAATAATTAAATGTTAAACAACACAAATATCCTTTATGTATTTAATCCCTATGGAGTTACGCAACATTGTAACGCATTACTTTTAAAAGTAACTTTCCCCAACACTGCAGACATCAGCATTACATGCAGTACATTAGAATTATGATAAACAGAGAATCTGATCTGAGATCAGAGTTTGTTCGGCTCTGTCTGATGCTGTAAACAAACGCGGAGACGATATTTATGAAATATCATCTAAAGGATGGAAATAAGGCTTCCGGTTTTCACACACAATGATGTTTTATTGTGTGTCTCCGCGGTGTTTGTTTACGCTGGTAAGTTTTATATGCATTTCTCTGAAGTGTTTTGTGAGCGTTGCTGCGTGCTACCCTGCTAGCTTCCGGTCACGTTATTATCTGTGATTTTACATTAATAGCACATGAGCTGAAACTATAGGAACCGCTCTTGTGTTGTATTAATGTCATGTGAAGCAGGTGATTTAATTAAATACAGTGTGTGAGTGTTTAATGTTTCTCAAGTCAGGATTGTTCTGTTAGCACATTAGCCTCCCTCTTTATTACATTATACTCACGTAACTTATATAATAACTCATATTCATAGCTTACATTGTCCTTTTATTTATTTAATTATCACCTGTTATTGTAAATGTTTAATAGTTAATTTAATCAAACCTGAATGATCAGCCTTTAACAAACATAAAAGATGAACAATAAAGAAATGTATTTCTTATTTTAATGAGAAGATGGTATAAATCCTTAAATATAGTGTCCTGTATGTCTGTATTTAACTAAAGTGCCAAAGTGTAGTATAGCAGTGTTAATACTATGGTACTGATTGAGGAATTTTCAGGTTTTACTCTGGTAATCATTCAGTTGCATGCTATATGAGCAGAATTAAAGCATGGCAGTGTTATGTCTGTGTCTGTGATTGTGTCTGTGTCTGTGATTGTGTGTGTGTCTGTGATTGTGTGTGTCTGTGATTGTGTGTCTGTGTCTGTGATTGTGTCTGTGTCTGTGATTGTGTGTGTGTCTGTGATTGTGTCTGTGATTGTGTGTGTGTCTGTGATTGTATGTGTCTGTGATTGTGTCCGTGTCTGTGATTGTGTTTGTGTCTGTGTCTGTGTCTCTGATTGTGTCTGTGTCTGTGTCTGTGATTGTGTCTGTGTCTGTGATTGTGTGTGTGTCTGTGATTGTGTGTGTGTCTGTGTCTGTGATTGTGTCTGTGTCTGTGTCTGTGATTGTGTGTGTGTCTGTGATGGTGTCTGTGATTGTGTCTGTGTCTGTGATTGTGTGTGTGTCTGTGTCTGTGATTGTGTCTGTGTCTCTGATTGTGACTGTGGATGTCTGACTGATGTATTCCTGTGTTTCAGGTGTGTTTGGCGTGTCGGCGATAGACGTGTACACTCCAGCCGAGCTGTTTGTGGAGAACGGGACCACAGCCACTCTGTCCTGCAGTTTCAAGTCTAGAGAAGTGATCAGTAGTTTAGCGTCAGTGGTGTGGTCTTTCCTTCCGGAGGGAGAAACAGGAGCATTCACTTCAGTAAGAGTCCTTCATCTGCACTGCACTGATGTTCATGTGTTATGATCAACACGTATGCTCTCTTCTGCAGATCTTCTATTACTCCGATGGAAAGCAGTTTCCGGGCTCGGACACAGCCCACTGTGAACACCCTTGTGATTCGCTTCAACCTTTTCCAATCTTATGAATGATTATTTTAGGTTCGAGTGTGTGTAAGGATTTGTTTCTAAAGCATGCAGTCTTCAAAACTAAGCTCAGAATCGACTCGAGAAAGAATGTGGAATCATTTTTCGATTCGTGATGCATTGATTTATTTCCCCAGCCCTAGTAAGTAGTGGTGGTGTGGTTTAACTGGTTAACTCTTGTGTGCATGGAGCATGACGTCTGATCTGACTGCGTACAGTACGTACAGTGAACACGGATGACACAACTCACTGTCTGAACTGTATTACTGATGCACCGAGCGCAGGTGAAGGCTTAGTGTTGAGCTTAACCCTGAACAGATGAAGCTCACAAACATCCCTGGCTCATATTTCACCACAGAACAAAGCAAATCAAGCTGATTTGAGGACCGTAAATATATTTTTGGAACACTTTACAATAGACTTTCATTAGTTAACATTGGTTACCTACATTAGTTAACATGAACTAACACGAAAAATACTTCTAGGCAAATACTTGTCTTAGTTCATGTTAATTTCAGTTTTTATTAGTGGTGAATTTATAATGATTTAAATAAGACAGCTTTATTATTATTATAATACGCAGTATTATTTTAGTATCATTCAGATACTATTATAGTTCTTCTTATTTAAAGTTTTAGTAATTTTGTGTTTTCTGTAATGTTTAGTAGTTTTTTATATATCTGTATAGTTTTTATTAATTTTTCAGTTTTAGTTATTTTTGTTTTAAATAAGAAACGTTGCCTTGGCAAGTAGCTTAAATAAGTTTCTTAAATTTTATTTTATTTCAAGTAATGAAAATGTATTTTAATGGTTTTACTTTTAGTTTTAGTTAACTACAGTAATTCTGGTAATAATGGTCTAAGACTCTTCATTGTCATTATTAAGATTAAGGTGTTGTGTGTTTTATTGACATGAAAATAATGTCACAATATTGTAAACGTGCGTTGGTTTATTTATATCTTTACATTTTAAGAACTGTTTAGTGGAGGAGACTGAATATATACTAAATGTTTTCTAAAAAGCTCTGCAGCACTGTGCGTGTGCTGACGTTTTGTTCAAAAAACATGTATTGCATATGGAAACAAATATATGAAGCGAATCGCAACAGTTAGGGTTCATGTAAACAGCTTTCTGAATCAAATCAGAGTAAAATCACTGGGATTGATGAACAGAGCATGTAAACAAACCTACTGTGAAACATGATAGTACCCTTCATTTGCTGAAAAGAAAACAAGACGTGGTACGTATTTCTGCTGCTTTGTGTGTGAAATATGAGGCGTCACATGACCGATGTGTGTCTGCAGTGTTCAGTCACTAACATTATCACTGTCATTAACCCCGTCAGCTCACATCTGCCTGTGTGTGTGTGTGTGTGTGTCGTCTCATCTGTCTGAGGTCCGTGTGTGTTTTGATCAGAGCAGCTGATGTTGCAGCGTTTGTATCGTATTGCTTGTCATCTCTCATCTCATTTGTGTTTGTGTCCGTCTCTGTGTGTCTGTGTGTGTGTGTGTGTGTGTGTAGCTGCACCTCGTTAGAGAGCGTGAGCTCACAGAACACTAGGGTGGGGAAGAAAGCGGAGTCTAGCAACGACAACTCCCGCTGCTCCAGCCCCTCCGCCCCTGTACAGGTACGAGCTTCCCACAGCCGTGTGTGTGTGTGTGTGTGTGTGTGAGAGAGTGTGAGTGTGTGAGTGAGTGTGTGTGAGTGAGAGAGTGTGTGTGAGTGAGAGAGAGAGAGAGTGTGTGTGAGTGAGAGAGAGAGAGAGTGTGTGTGAGTGAGAGAGAGAGAGAGTGTGTGTGAGTGAGAGAGAGAGAGAGTGTGTGTGAGTGAGAGAGAGAGAGAGTGTGTGTGAGTGAGAGAGAGAGAGAGTGTGTGTGAGTGAGAGAGAGAGAGAGTGTGTGTGAGTGAGAGAGAGAGAGAGTGTGTGTGAGTGAGAGAGAGAGAGAGTGTGTGTGAGTGAGAGAGAGAGAGAGTGTGTGTGTGTGTGTGAGTAAGAGAGTGTGAGTGAGTGTGTGAGTGAGTGTGTGTGAGTGTGTGTGAGTGAGAAAGAGAGTGTGAGTGAGAGAGTGTGAGTGTGTGAGTGAGTGTGTATGAGTGTGTGTGAGTGAGTGTGTGTGAGTGAGAGAGTGTGAGTGAGAGAGTGTGAGTGTGTGAGTGAGTGTGTGTGTGTGTGTGTGTGTGTGCGTGTGAGTGTGAGTGTGTGTGTGTGAGCGTGTGAGTGTGAGTGTGTGTGTGTGAGCGTGTGAGTGTGAGTGTGTGTGTGTGAGCGTGTGAGTGTGAGTGTGTGTGTGTGAGCGTGTGAGTGTGAGTGTGTGTGTGTGAGCGTGTGAGTGTGAGTGTGTGTGTGTGAGCGTGTGAGTGTGAGTGTGTGTGTGTGAGCGTGTGAGTGTGAGTGTGTGTGTGTGAGCGTGTGAGTGTGAGTGTGTGTGTGTGAGCGTGTGAGTGTGAGTGTGTGTGTGTGAGCGTGTGAGTGTGAGTGTGTGTGTGTGAGCGTGTGAGTGTGTGTGAGTGTGTGTGAGCGTGTGTGTGAGTGTGAGTGTGTGTGTGTGAGCGTGTGTGTGTGTGTGAGTGTGAGTGTGAGTGTGAGTGAGTGAGTGAGTGTGAGTGTGAGTGTGTGTGTGTGTGTGTGTGTGTGTGTGTGTGTGTGTGTGTGAGTGAGTGTGTGTGCGTGTGTTCCCCTCAGTGCTGATGCTGTGTTCACATCAGTAGTGTCTCACTCTCATGTCATTGTGAAGTCGTGTGACCGTGTCTCTGAATGTTCACTGATTCTGAAATGAACAGAAAGCTGTGTCTCAGTTCAGAGGCTGAAGCAAGTGTTGTTAGCAGTGCAGTGACCAGCAGAAGTTAGATTTGTAAAAGTGATATTCAAGCGTCTGAAAACTAAATGGCTTCCAGCCCGTCACGAATGCAGCTTTTTTAGCTAAATTTGCTATTCACTTATTCACCTGAGCATATAGGTCTACACATGCATGATTTCCACTGAGATTCCAGATGCTGCTGTTGGTTATACAGTTATTAGTGTAATTAACACTTTTACACAAAAATTAATTAGACTTCAAACACTCACCTTCAGAAATGCTCAACAACAGCGACACCAACTGGAAAGACTCAATAACAACAACTGCAGATTAAAGATCCCGCAGACATCACTGTTTTTAAGGAAGCAGGGTTACTTCATGTTAGTAGAGTGAGTGTTGTACTTTTTTCTTGAGTTAAAATTTTGATTATTTTGAGTTGAACCTCCTCTACTGTTAGCTGAGCTTTTTAATTTTATTTTAATAATTCTGTAAAATAATTTAAACTTTTGGTCTTTTTGTCACTCCATAAATTAAGACAACCATAAATATTAGTATTGTAATTTTATAGATGTTTTATAAAATAAAATTATTTATTATTATTATTATTATTAACAACAGCATCAACAACAATATAAAATAATTAATAAATAATAATTATTGTTAAATGTTTTTTTTTTCAAACAAAAATAATATTTGAATGATAATAGTAATAATATTTTTTGTTGTTGTAATATGGTGATTTTGAATGGGGAAGCAAACGTGTTTTTTGTCTTTATCTGATATTTCTTCTGAGTGAGTTGTTGACACGCGACACATTTCCGGGGCATACTGGCGTTTGCGCTGTGTTTTCTGCTGTGTGTGTGTGTGTGTGTGAGCGATCAGCATCTGCTGTGTGTGTGTGTGTGAGTGATCAGCATCTGCTGTGTGTGTGTGTGTGTGTGTGTGTGTGTGAGCGATCAGCATCTGCTGTGTGTGTGTGTGTGAGTGATCAGCATCTGCTGTGTGTGTGTGTGAGTGTAAACTCAAGCGTCTGTGTTTCTCTCTCATGGTGTGTGTCTCTGTTGGCTCTGTCCAGGGGCCGGTGATTTACGCCCAGCTCGATCACTCCGGCAGCAAGATCTCCTTCCACAAGATGGAGCCGGTGGTGTACGCAGACATCCGCAAGAACTAGAGCGCCGTGGCACGTGACTGGTCAGACGGGTGGGTTAGTACTGGACTGGTGACGGCACGTGACCACTGACTCTCTCTTCTGTTTCTGTGTGTGTTTTCATGTCAGTGTTAAAGTGAGTTTCTAGAGTAAAATATCTCACTCTCCTCATGTCTCACCACTCTAACTATTTTTTTTTAATCAACATTTAAAAATGCATAAACATTTAGCCATTGAAGTAATATATTTAGCATAGAGATCATGAGTTTTGGGGGAAAATGTGCTTATTTTACATTTACGTAATTTTGAGTTGTTATATTTTCAAATTATTTTTATTTTTAAATGGCCAACTTAATTTTTCATGCATTTTCTAAATCAAAATGTAGAGAAAATGAATCCTGGCTATTAGACTTTTTTTTTTTTTTTTGGACAATTAAGAAAACTCAATTTCATAACTGTAATAATAATAATTTTTAATCAACATAGAAATACTATAATGTGTAAATACTTTTAATTTACATGATGTATTATTTTTGGATTATGAGAATTTGCATTTCAATGTGATTTTTTATTAATGTTTTTTACATTATTTGTCCCAAAGAGAAGTAGAATGTTTGTATGTGAGCTGTAGCGTGTTTAGTTCGTGTGGTGAGACGTGATGCGTTCGTGAGATCGATGTAACTAACGTTCGAATCACAGCTGAAGATCATGGAGCATGATGGGTAATCGTCACGCCTCCGTGATCCCAGACGGATTAAAGACGGTTTGCACGTCTCAGCGGTTAGACTAGTTAGCTTGTTAACAAGACGGCACTAATCCTGCTAGCGTATGTGTGTAGAAATGCCCAGTCTTCAGTGTTACTTTAGTCAACTAGACTACATTCCGCATTTAATGCGTCGCTGCCATTTGAGTTGAAACACTCCACTTTTATGTCTTAAGTTTCTTATGTACATGTGTCATAACTTAAGTTTTGTTTTTATTTCTGACACTTTTGAACACTATTGAGACCAAAATCATTGACAGATCATTCCTTTGCGTTTCTGATGCTGGAGTTGTTTTATTGTGTGTTTATTTGCCTAGATGATTATTATTTGTACTGCACATTCCATGAGGCCTGTGGTGCTGGTTTGATTCTGTAGTGCGGTTGCAAATCCTGCGCTGTGTCTGATTCAGCCTGCAGCACTATCGCGTCACATGATCATGTTAACTGGAACAGTGTGGATGAGAGTGCCTTCATCGACTAACGCCTGTTACACACTTCTGTGTTTTCTTGTTTTATTGGCCTTTTGTATATGAAAACAGCCGTTTCTGTCTAATTTTATACATGCATATATATATAAATATATTAAACTGAATGAAAGCGTCGGTTTCTTGTGTTTGTGTATCTGAGAGTGTGATGTACGGAAACTCACTGAAGAAAAAAATAAAAAAGGTAATTGTGACTTTTTATCTTGCAATTTTGACCTTTTTCTCAGAATTCTGATATAAACTCACAAGTTTGAGTTACAAAATTTGAATTGACATGATACCCCGCGATTAAAACCTTTGCAAGAAAAAAAGAGAAATGAACTGAATACAAGGAAACAAGTCAGAAGATAAACTCTAGTGCAAGAAAATAGTCAGAATTGCGAGAAATTAAAAAAAACCGCAAAATATAAAAAAACTACAATTGTCAGATATAAACGTGCAATTGTGAGAAAAGTCAGAATTTTGTGATGTATAAAAACTCACAATTGCGAGAAAATTTCAGAATTTTGAGATGTAAATAAACTTGTGATTGTGAGAAAAAAAGTCTTGTGAGAATTGTGAGGCATAAAAACTTAGAATTGCAAGATATAAGAAAAAATTCAGAATGGTGAAATATTAAAAAAAAACTAAAATTGTGAGATATAAACTTGTGATAGTGAGAAAAACAGTCAGAATTGCGAGATGTAAGAAAAAATGGTGAAAATATAAAAAAAAATAAAAAATAATAATAATTATAAAAAAACCTACAATTGTCAGAAATAAACTCACAATTGGAAGAAAAAAAAAAGTTAGAATTGAGAGATATAAACTTGTGATTGCAAGAAAAAACAACTGCGAGCCATAAAAAAACAAACGTAGAATTGCGCGAAATTGTGAAATATAAAAAAAAAAAAAAAACTACAATTGTGAGGAAAAAAGTCAGAACTGCGAGATATATAAAAAGTTACATTTTCGAGATATATAAACTCACAATTGTGAAAAACAAAAGTCAGAATTGCAAGGTATAAAGACGTTAGAATTTAGGGATATAAACCCACATTTATGAGAAAACTGTGATTCAATTAAAATTCAAGTTTATTTGTACAGCGCTTTTCACGATACAAATCATTGCAAAGCAACTTTACAGCAAATGAAGTTTCTACAATATTTAGTGGTAGCTTATCAGTGGTGACTGTCAGTTAATGTACATATGGCAGAAATGTACGGAAAAATCAATTAAAGACGTAATCAAACAGACGATGAACACTATTAACAGCAATTATTATATGATGCAATCAAACTTATAGCAAAGCATGGTAGTTCTGTATGTTGTTCAGGGTTGGCATCATCTGAGGTCCTCTGAGCAAATCACATCAGAAACAAACACACAAAAGCACACTTAAAGGTAGAATCCAAACCATGTCACTGTGCATGGAGAGGGAATAAAGTCTTATCTGAATTACATTCCTTGTGCCAAAAAGTCCAACACAGCTGCCATCTTTAATCCATGTGCCTGGAGTAACCAATACCAAAGTTCACAGCAAATTGGAAGTACAAGGACGACGGGTAAACGATGACACGAAGATCTTTGTGAACAAAAAGGAAAAAGGACGGCGTATTTGACGGCGCTAATACTGTTTTAAACGCCGGAAAAAACAGCATTTTGTATGTAAATGCGATTTATCTATAGCGTACTTCTGACTGTTTTGGCTTGCCATAGTTGTACGTTGCCATGATGTTCACGCGCGCACGAAACTACTACAATGTTACCACACCGTGAAATTAATGTTGAATTGCTTTGCTTGTTAAGATAATGTTAACCCATGAGGCAACAAAAACTTAAAAGCATATTCATATATTTTAAAACTTCTGGTTACATGAGCCTGAGCTATTTTCAATAAAATCCATGCAAAAGTTAATATCAGATCATTTTAGAATACAGTATAGGATGTACCGAATATTCTTCAGTTTTATGCAAAACAGAAATACGACGAATAGAATATCAGATCTCTGTCATATAAATAACTTTTTTTTTTGCATAGCTGTGTTTGACACATGAAAACTGTAACAATGTAACTGTGTAACCTTGATCTCACTTGAAATGTGTCCCCACATTAAGTGCTTGAATCTGAGGGTATTGGACCTGGAAAATCCTTGAAAGGTCCTTGAATTTTAAGTTAACCAAGGTGTGGGAACCCTGTATGAAGCAATCATGGTCTTAAGTGTCCCGTTAACACGTTCTGTTAAGTGTGTTTGCGGATGATAGAACTCTTGAGCGGTGAGTGGATTCTCACTGAAACACCTCGGATTGGCCATTGCGATATAAAATATAGCTTTAGTTTTATATTTAATTTGATTACATTAATGTTCACAATAAATATTTTAACTGCTACTATGTAAAAGGAATACTGCTGTAAAAAAGCACCTTATTTGTTTAAAGTGTTTGCAAACCAAATATTATTGCACTTTTGTTCATATAGTAGTACTTTTAAAATAAAAGTGCACAATACACTACTTTTGAATTCATTATTGAATTTTGTGCATAACAATGCGATTAATCGCGATTAAAATGGTAATCGTTGCCCAGCACTAATATATATATATATATACTTTTGAAACATATTTTAGCAAATAAACATTTTTGCCCTTATTTTGAAAAATATTTGTTTAAAGTTTTTTTTTGTGCTTTAAATAAATAAATAAATACATGAACGAATGAATGAAAATGCACTCACCCTCAGATCATGCAAGATCAGGATGAGTTTGTTTCTTCATCAGGTTTGGAGAAATGCAGCATTGCATCAGTGTCTCAGCAATGGATGCTCTGCAGTGAATGGGTGCCGTCAGAACGTGAGTCCAAACAGCTGATAAAAACATCACAATAATCCACACGTAATCCACAGCACTCCAGTCCATCAGTTAACATCTGGAGAAGACAAAAGCTGAATCAAATCCAGCATTAAGACGCTTTTAACTAAAATACCATTGAGTCTATAATCCATAATAACTCTTCCTCCAGTCACTGAAAGACTGTTCCCAAATAATTTATAGTACATTTAATTTCTGCTTGTTTTTATCCTTTGGTTGGACTTTTTGTGTATGTGTTGCGCACAAGGACATTTCCACAGAATTTGAGAAACCGAGTTCAGTCGCCTGAGGCTGTTCTGAGGTCAGTGATGTGCTGAAACACCCGCTAGATGGAGACAAACGCCGCCGTGTCCGCGAGCGTCCAGCAGTGAACAATACTGAGATGTGATGTTGCATCATGATGAGAACTAATCATAAATGATCTGGATCAGAAGTGTTCTGACAGCGCGTGATGACGCGACGCGCGCTTTGAGGATTAGCTTCGACGCGACAGAACACAAGCTGCGCGAGAAACCACAAGACAAAGCAAAAGCAACGCGCTCGAGTGAAAAGTCCGAGTTTTTCCAGCCGGGAATCCCTGAAGACCCCGAAGTTCCAAACCGTGGCTTTAGGTTGTGTTCAGCTTGAATTTAAGCAGCACTAACATTAAAGTTAAAAAAGAAAGACAAAATGAAATAAAACGATTCTGGAAGCTGGCAGTGTTTGAAGAAGATGCATCATTACGATTTTACAGCCCTTACGAAGATTAACCATGGTTTTACTACAAAAAAAAATAAATAAAAAAATCATGGTTACTATACTTAAACCATGGTAACCACAAATTAAACATGGTTTTGACTATGGTATTTGTAGTAAAACTGTGGTAACACAAATGGTAATCAATAATAAAAACAAAACAATGGTTACTACACTTTTACTACTATAAAACCATGGTTAATTTCATAAGTGAGTAGTCACAGCAGGTAACGGTTAATAAGGAACTGTGTTTAGCTCGCTCGCTCACTCACTCACACACACACACACACACACACACAGAGCACTAGTTTTTAACATTGTTCCTATCATAACTCGTGTAAAAAACAACTCCTCATTTCAATAAAACACAGTTAGACATAAATTTGCAAAGAACCGTCAACATCAGTTTTCAGAAAGAGAGAGAGAGACAATAATCTTAATCTTTAAGACAATATCTTAACTATTTTCTTATTTCTGTTCATTAAAAAAAATATTAATGTAATTACCTACTTTATGAATTATAGATCTATTCTTGTTTTGTTTATGTATTATACAATCATTATTTGTTCATGCAATGGTCAATGCTTTGGCAATACTGTGCTAGTCATGCCAATAAAGCTCCCTTGAATTGAATTGAACTGAACTGAATTGAATTAAATTGAATTGAGAGACAGAGCAAGAGAGAGAGACACACAGAGCATGAAAGAGAGAGAGAGAGAGAGAGAGAGAGAGAGGG